ATGGATCTGCGAGAGCAGCAGACATGCACGCCGCTAACCAAGCAACTGTGCCATCATGACGTTGCTTAGGCTGAAAAATGCCACTCCGACTACGCGTATGTGGACGTAGAGCAGCAGCAGGAGCCGGCGGAGGAGAAGGTGACGGAGACGTGACGGTCGCCGGAGATGCAGGAATCACCTCAGGCGAGCTCGGGACAGACGACTCCGGGCTGCATGGCGAAGACTGGCCCGACGACAGGGTCTCAGAGGCCATGGGCGAACCGAGGGTGGGCGAGGCCAGCTCCGGTGACACCGGCCCAGACGGCCTTGGCGAGGCGAGAGCAGGCGAGGCCGGCCCTGGTGAGAAGGGCCCAGACACCCTGGGCGAGGCAGGGGCGGGCGAGGCCAGGCCTGGTGATGACTGCCCCGACGCCCTGGGCGAGACGGGGACCGAGGAGGCCGGCCCAGTCGGCGGGGTTGCAGGGCGCGACGATGGCGAAGGCAGCCCAGAAGCCAGAGGCGACCGGGCCAGGACGTCGATCGGCCGTGCATGAGCACGGAAACCGAGGCCATGCAGGGGCGCCATGTGCTCCTCATGCACAACAGAAGGTGCCGAGGATGAAGGCGATGGCGACGAAGAGGAAGACGGCGCTTCCAGAATCTCCAAACGAGCCCCACGACCAGTGCCTGCACCATGGTTAGGCAACAATAGAGGAGAATATGCAACATCATCAAATTGGTCAGAAGCAACAGAGGATGAATGCATGACAGGTGGCTCGGTAGTGGACACAGGGAGTTTGGCAAAGGGAAAAACATGCTCATCAAACACAACATCCCGAGAGATGTAGACACGATTAGTGAGAACATGAAGACATTTGTATCCTTTATGAAGAGAGCTATAACCAAGAAAAACACACTTCTTGGAACGAAACTCGAGCTTACGCTTGTTATATGGACGGAGATGGGGCCAGCAAGCACACCCAAACACCTTGAGAAAGGTGTAATCCGGTTGTTCATTAAGGAGAACTTCAATGGGAGTCTTCATATTCAAAACACGAGTGGGAGTACGATTGATGAGAAAACATGCAGTGGTGAAAGCATCACTCCAAAAACGAAACGGAACAGATGCATGGGCCAAAAGAGTCAGACCGACTTCAACAATGTGACGATGCTTACGTTCTACTGAACCATTCTGCTGATGTGTATGTGGACATGCTAAACGGTGAGTGATCCCAAGCGACTGAAATAAGGAGTTGAGGTTGCGATACTCGCCACCCCAGTCCGACTGAACATGAACAATTTTGTGCTTGAGAAGGCGTTCAACATGTTTTTGGAACTGAACAAAAATGTCAAACACATCAGATTTACATTTGATAAGATAAAGCCAGGTAAAGCGGCTGTAAGCATCAACAAAACTGATATAATAATTATGACCACTAGCAGAAGTCTGAGCAGGACCCCATACATCTGAAAACACAAGTTCTAAAGGATGTTTCACCTCACGACTGGACTCCGAAAAAGGAAGTTGATGACTCTTCCCCTGCTGACAAGCATCACACACTGCTACATCTTTATTACTAGACACACTAGGAAGCTCATGACGACGCAAAACATGCCGGACAATAGGTGTGGCCGGGTGATCAAGATGAGCATGACACTGTGACGGAGATACCCGAACTCCACTGAAGACGCGAGCGACGCCAGGATGCTCCAGACGATAGAGACCTTGGCAGAGCCGCCCACTAAGAAGAATGTCCCTCGTGCCCCGATCCTTAATAAAAAGATCAAAAGGATGAAATTCACAAAGCACATTATTATCACGAGTGAGTTTAGGAACTGAAAGAAGATTACGTGTCACAGATGGAACTCGAAGAACATTGCGAAGTTGAAGACTCCTATTGGCATGTCTAGTGAGAAGTGATGCTTGACCAATATGAGAGATGTGCATACCTGCTCCATTGGCGGTGTGGATCTTGTCGGAGCCATGGTAGGGTTCACGAGTGTGAAGCTTCCCCATCTCACTGGTCAGGTGCTCTGTCGCCCCAGAGTCCATGTACCAGTGGGGATCAATGGAGTAGGACTGAGTGTGTCCCTGTGGCTTCTGCGGCGGCGGACGATCAGCCATGACGACCTGACGAGCAAAGTTGCGTGTATCCTTCCCGTCATTGCCAAGACCAAGAAAACCCCGCTGGAAGCGCTTGTGACACTTCGAGGCCCAGTGCCCATCACGACCACAAAGCTGGCACACACGTGGACCGCCAGCCCCTGGTAGCGTCGCAGTAGGAGGAGGGGCCGAGGCGGGTGGTGGTGACTGCCCCGAAGGAACCCTGGATGAAGCAGAGGAGCGACCACCCTTGGTGGCGGCGTTTGCCGAGAGGGCGCTGTTGCCCCTGGATCGACGCGTCTCGACTCGTTGCTCAGTAAGCAGGAGGCGTGAAAAGACCTCGTGTGCTGGCATGGGCGTGGAGTTGCCCCTCTCATTGATGATCTCGACTAGGGCGTCATACTCCTCATCAAGACCATTGACAATAAACGAGTTGAACTCGGAGTCGGTGAGGGGCTGTCCAATGGAGGCCAGCGTGTCGGCGAGACTCTTGACTTTGTTGTAGAACTCAGTGGTGGTGGAGTCAAGCTTCTGACACTCCCCAAGTTGGCGACGGAGCCCAGATACACGAGCCTGCGACTGTGCCGCAAACGAGCGCTCAAGAATAGTCCATGCCTCGTGGGACGTCTTGGCGAAGACAACAAGCCCAACAACGGCCGAAGAGAGCGACCCCTGGATGGAGGGGAGGTTCGCCTGATCCTGCCCTGTCCAGACACGGTGAGCCGGATTATAGACCGGACCATGCACGCTGTCAACCAGCGCAGGAGGGCAAGGGAGAGAGCCGTCGACATAGCCAAGCATGTAGTGACTCCCAAGAAGCGGAAGAACCTGCGCGCGCCAGAAGATGTAATTGTCCGACGACAACTTGATGGTGATGAGATGGCCGAAGTGAAACGGCGGCGGCGGCTGCGATCCCATCGAGGAGACTGGCTGAGGTGAGAACACCGTGGAGACAGTCGGAGGGGCAGCCGGCGCGGTGACAGAGGGCGCGATGGCCGCGGTTGACGCCGCGAAGCCTGCCAGCGCGACGTCCTCCGCCACCAGCGGCGCCGTGGCCGAGGGTGCGACAGCCGCGGTTGACGGGGCGGCGGTGGTGTGGGCCACAAGCGCCTGCCCGGGCGAAGTAGCAGCCGGCGGGAGCGCGAAGAGGGAGCCGACGCTCCGTGTCCCGATCGGCACCTGAAGGGAGGCGGCATCCAGCGGCCTCGAGAGAAGTGCCGCGAGGGAGGCCGGCAGAAAACCGGTGGCGGTGGAGCCGGACGCAGCGGCGGACGTCATAGCAGTCGGACGACGGCGGCGGTGGCGGCGGCGGCGGCAGCGGCGGTTTAGGGTTTTTAGGCGGAAGCGGACGTAACCTAGCGTGATACCATGTAAGACAATAGGCTTTGGGGGGAACCGGCACAACCCTCTAGAGGTGGCCTATCACATATATATATAATGAGGTGGTATACAATGTTACAATATACACATGTAAATACAGTCTAATATGGGCGTTTCTCAAAGCCCAAGCAGCTAAATCTTGAGAGAGAAAAAGCAGGCAAGTTGGACATATTCTGTGCTTACAGATAAGGCAGTGTGAGTGATGAGAGATTGAGAGCTCTGTCGACGATGCTATTCTCTGAACCTGTGGCGACTCATCGCCGGTTAACCAGAAACAAGGTGAGCCTGAGGTTTCCTTACAAGCAAAGTATTGGCCGAACCATATTGGCATTCCGCGTCATTGTTGATACGGTTCTTGTTGTCGCACATCATCGACACGTTTTCACCATTGCAAGCTTCTGTTCATCTATACTTTGGTGAAACTGACAGGAGCACTGTCTTTCAATTAAGTAGAAACGAGTCCCTGAAAAAATAGGTAATTAAGTAGAATAGAGTGACCTAGTTTGTTAAGTAAAAACCTTTTCTTAGCGCTCTTTGTTAAGTAAAAACTGACAAAGACCAAGTTGTTCATCTGTTTGTAAACACATGAATTTCTTTTCTGCTTTCCTTTTTGAAAACTCAAACGAGGAGAGAAATCTTGAAAAAAAAGGGGGGGAAATCTGCCTTGGAATTTCGTACTGAAATTTCATCCCATTGGCTTGGGCGCTTTGAGATAGTATGCATGAGTACACTATCGATGATGAGATTCATATTCCGACCTTCTTACTTTCCGGATTTCTACTCGATGCATGGGTGGATCGTAATCTGTGGCCTGTGCATTCTATCACCCATTACCATGAATTAAGATTGACCACCCCTTCCAGGTCTTAATTAGTTCTCCTGAAGATTAGTTGCCAATAGATAGATGGATTTCAAAAGCAGGACCTCTCCATAGGCATATATACGAGAGATTCCCTCTAGCTAGGTCAACACTTAGAAAATCGATCGGATTATTCCATTCGCGTGTTTGGGTCCATGTTGATCAGAACCAACACGGCTCCACGCGTGCATTATCTAATCTCATCTCCTCTTGGATACCAACCAAAATATGCTTTTGAACAAACCAATGGCGCCAATACCAGGCCTGCTAGCTAGGAGCTTTCATTTATTTTTTCTATAGAAAAATCCAAATTGCTCTTTGTGCAATGTTAAAGATGGCTGCTAGACCACACTGGTCTGTTCCAAACACTTCCGGATCTTACTTGCACTGGATATTCCAACCCATGCATGCATGAAGGACACCCTGCTAGCTAGTGCATAGAAAGAAGCACTGCCCTTTTGTAGCTCTATAAAAGGAAGCCACCCCTCTGCTAGCAAACCATCCAGGTTTCCTCTTTGGCACAACACAAGGCAGCAACAACTAGCTACTAGCTACTCAAAGGCTCCATCACATTTCAAAGTCCTCTTCAAACTTCAAAGCAAAGCAGGCCTAGAGATCCGTGCACGTACACACATAACCCATTAGAAGAACTTATTTAGAAGGCAGATGGATCGCGTGATGAAGCTGGCGTCGGAGAGAGCGGTGGTGATCTTCAGCCTGAGCTCCTGCTGCATGTGCCACACTGTGGCGCGGCTCTTCTGCGACCTGGGTGTCAATGCACTGGTGCACGAGCTCGACCAAGACCCCAAGGGAAAGGAGATGGAGAGAGCTCTCCTCAAGATGCTCGGGAAAGGCCCGTCTGTTCCGGTGGTGTTCATCGGCGGGAAGCTTGTCGGCGGGACAAACAGGGTCATGTCCATGCATCTCAGCGGCGAGCTGGTCCCAATGCTGAGGAATGCAGGTGCCCTCTGGCTTTAGAGGAATGCAGGTGCCACTTGGGAAAAATAAAATTTTGTCAAAGAGTGTCAAGTATATGCATTTCCTTAGAATAACTTAACTAATGGCCTGGTTAGTGTCGATCGAACAGGTTTTTTCAATCCTGTTCCGGCAATAGCAAGGCTTATAGCTCGCTAGGAGCGAGTTTTACGTACGGGTGATGTTCGTGTTGTAATCCCAGTGCTATTTGTGCACTCAGGTGTACAATCATCGTTTTTTAAAGAGCTAGCTGATAAATATAAACAGTTCATTATCAATGGCACATGCCGTCTTTAACCTACAAGTTTTGTAGTTGCATTTTTTTTGAAAGATCCAGCAATCGCTGGCTTTTCATATCATTAGCAGAAATCAATGGGAAAACAAGGGTGCGTTGGAGGGTCCTAAGACCAGTACAGAAAAAGATTACAACAACCTTGCTTCGGCCAAAGCTTTGCTGACCGAAGGAAGAGTGGAATTACAATGGCCTATATCTCATGGCGGATCCCAGGAAGGGCTCTCCAAGCATGATGCGCCCGCCTGCCGCCAAAGATGCACTGAATTTTCGATGGCCTTTGCAACGTCCCTTGCTGCCTCCAGTTTTGTAGTTGCATTGCATATTGATCATAGTAGCTACGTACTAGTTTACTATCGTCTCCTGTTTGTTATTTATAATTATTTTCCATCACACATATACATCGGCACCTCCCCTGATCTGGCGGTGGTGGTCCAGCTGCTGTTCGAAGGCTGGCTGACGGCTTGGTCGGCGATGCAGCATCAACGGCGGCGACGCGAATAGGGAGCGGGAATACTACGGCTTTGGCTTGCCACGTCTAGGCGCCATCGGCCTCTACTACAATGGCTCTGTGGCACGTGCATGCGTACAACGTGTTGAACCTCCCGTGATGACGTTCGCCTCTCCGGCCGTGAGGTGCGGCATTTCGTGTTTAGAAGAGCATGGCTTTGATGATGTGGTGATGTCCTTTTCCGGTCCTGTATGTCATGGAACGGTTTGTATTTTAATTTCCCGTGATCATCGTGTGCAGGTGTTCCCTTCCATGCAACATGCTTGTTCGGCAAGTGGCGATGATAATACACGGCGACTTCGGTTTGGTGGTGCGCTCCGAGTACCATGACTTGAGCTATTGGAAGAAAACCCTAGATTTGACCTTCTTTGGTTGTACCTTATAAATGGCGGTGTTTTACGCTACACGCCCTTGTTGAGAGCATTTCTTTGGACATTCCTTAGACATGCTCTCCGGGATGAGAACGCTAACCCGATCTTCAATTGTTGGATGCAGTGACGGGAGCTCTTGGGCATTGAATGCGCTATTTTCTAGGAATCTTGCTCATAGTTCATGTGTTGTTCAGGGTAATGTTGGTGTTGCAGTTGTTTTATTGCGTGTCGTTGATCGCGTCGTCTCTCTTTGTTTTTACTTCTTTCCCTTTTTCCTTTTTGGTTGTATGCACCCTCAGTGTCTCGACTAGTTCTTGATATTGTGTTGTTGTAGAGGCTGAGTGTAATTGATATCACTTTGATATTAATATATTACCCATAAAAATATACATTAATATTTTACACTTTGAAGATATATATACTAATCAATAAACACTTATACATTAATATTTTACACTTTGGAGATATACATACTTATCATATGCGAGGATTGGATTGCACCACATTATATTTGTTATAGGAATGTTTTTTTACGTACACCCCACTAGAAAACTCTAAAAAGGATTATCGTTGTGCACTAATTGATATTAATTAGTAAAAATTAGTTGGCTAATTCAATGGTGCTTACAATAAAAGCCTAAAAAATAAAATCTTATATAACTAAGTAGGTGATCTCCACTAATTAAATTTATTTATCTTAACATACAAGGAGGCCACATCAACATACGCCTATGCATGAAAAAATTTCCACATTAACATGCGACCGGGAAAAGATTCACCTCAGCATGCAACCATGCATGAAAAACTGTTATGCTACTTATATTCAATAAATATTTTACATGACACAATAAATAAATAAAATCAGTCATGGGCATTTTCAGATTTATTTCTCATAGTACTAGCCAAAATGTTTCATGTACCAAACATATTGAAATATATTGCAACCAATTTCCACAACAACGCATGGGGTATCATCTAGTATTTAGAACATATGTTTCCACTGTAAAGGGTCTAGAGCCCATATCCAACCTTTGATGGTTTCACCACGCCCCACCTCTAATCCAAAAGTATAACCAAGGTACTATCACCAACATCAGTAGCATCGATTACTCCGACGGTGATGGCGTTATCTTGAATAAAAGTCCTTCGACTCCAATCCCATCTCGGTGGCGCTTGATGCAGTGTTACCTACGAGCTTTAGTGTTTCTATCACCATTGTTCTTAGCGGACAACGGATTGATTATTCGTGTTGTTTGTCAGCGCGGCTCCATGGCATCATCGGCGAAAACATTGTTTTCTTCAATAGTTCCTTCTTTCAAATCCATTCGAGCAAAAGGTCGTCTGCCAAGTCTAACAATACTAGCATGGTTTCCAGCCAAGGCCGGGGTTATACCTCCGCGCGATTGCCAATCTTCATCTTACGTGTCGGTCTACTATTATGGTAATTCAATGAGGTTTCATCTTCAACAATTTTTTTATGACTGTATTTCTCAATGTTGCCCATGGCCGGCAAGACTTATAGTGGGCTTCAACAGATTTTTGAAGCATATAGTCGAAGCTCAAATCTCCCCTTTGTTTAAAATTGTTTGTGCTCTTGAGTGTGGATTTTTTGTACCCTCATATCAGTATCCTCTGTCTATACCATTCAACTTGTGTCAAGATTCTCGCTATCCTTATAGAGTAATTTCTCTTTTTTGTTTCTTCCAAAGAGGAGAACAATTGACCTTGAAACGTTGCAAATCAACTACACATAGGTGTTACTCATTATATAAATTTTTTAGGAATTTTTGATGAAACATACATTTGTTAAATTCAAATTTCAAATGAATTGTATCATTTAAAAAAATTATCTTGTGCCAAAAAATCCGAAACCTTATCGTCACATGATAGTACTTGTGTGATGTTTATCTATAAAGTTTCAGGTTCAAATGTTCTTTTATTTAGGAAGAAACAAAAAAGAGAAGTTTTTGTGCACCAACTTTGATGCGAGAATTGACGGTGAGGAAAGAGAGTACATTGGTATGAGGGTACAACTAGGACTTACCGAAAAAGGGTTTCCCCCGCTTTGTATTCCAAAGCACCAACACCGATTACAGAGCAGACGTTGGGGCGAGCAGCACAACAAGCCAAAGAAAAAAGAAAGAGAAACAATGCCAACACCGGCAGCTCGACAGACGCGAATGACCTACAACCGCTGCACCCTCCGAAATCTACCCACCACGATCCTAGGTTTCGATCCTCCGTGTACCAAGCAGCACCTCCAGGAAGGAAACGACGCCGACGACACTGCTGCCCGGACGTATCCTAGGGTTTCCCCCGGCACACGGAGGGTAGAGGGGAATGAAGACCACCAGCACCCTCCAGGGAGGAATGGTGGCACCCGCAGGCGTCACCGCACCGGAGCCGGAAGATCCGGCAAGGATTTCTCCCAACTCCAAACCCCACCGCCCAACCGGATCGAAGCCAACCAACCAGCTCGCCGTCCACCAGCATGCGCCACCGCGGTCGCAACGCCACCCACGCCGTCTCACTGAGATCGCCACCACGAGGCCAAGAGAACGGGGAGGAGGCGTTGGACGATGGGAGCAGCAGAGCCGTAGCCGCGCGGGAGGGAACCACCTCCTCCGCCGTCGTGCAGGAGGCTCGAGCCTCCGGCACCGTCGCGGTCGCCGTCCGGACGCAGCAGCAGGGCATACCAGGCCACCCCTGGCCCGGCCAGGCCCGAATCAGGCCCGCTAAGCCCCGCCGGCCACGCTGCAGCAGGGCAGCGCCAGCACCGCCAGCACCCCAACGCCCATCGCCGCTCCCCCGCCTCCTGGGAGCCACGCCGTCGACCCGCCCCGCCGTCGGCCCGCCCGGACCCAGATGGGGCCTGAAGGGCCTAGATCTGGGCCGAGCGGGCGCCGCCTGGCCACGCCGCCGCGCCACCCCGCCGCCAACGGCGACGCCGCCGTCCAGCCGATCTCCCGCGCCGCGCCAGGAAGCCCCGCCCCCACGCCGGACCGCCGCCGCCTAGGGAACACCCCCGGCGCCCTCCGCCCCGCGCCGGAGAGCAACCGAGAGGGGAATGGCTGGGGGCCGCCGCCACCAGCGTCGCCCGGGCCAGGCCCATCGGCGAACGCCGGCGGGGAGGGGGGAATGAGGGGGAGCTGGCGGAGGAGGAGCCGGGGCGCGGCCGGTCGCCCGCGGGGGCGACGCGGTCGCGAGAGCCCGAGGGGAGAGAAGGTATGTATACAACTAGGACTTTTCCCTCCGTTAAAAAAAATCCTCTGTTCAAAAAAAAAAAGGACTTCCCCTTTGTTCTTCCGGGTTCAGCTACCCCATTATCTGGTTATATATCGGACATGCTATTGATCCAATATATGCTAGACTCGATTTTAAATAAAGAGGTCATGCATTCATATACTTTACGTCTATGCTTAGGATAATGCTATCAGGTCAAGTTGATGTCATGTATGTACGATAGATTGCAGTCGACCGATCTCGGATCGCGGCATCTTATGCAGTGCACATATACTGTAAGCTGTCGACCAGGTGAGATAAGCGCGGTGAGCACCGGCCTGGAAGCTACAGAAAGAGATCGATGCCCTCTCATTGGCGACTACCTACTTTAATTATCTTTTCCATCTGCACGCATCAGAAGCTTTAGCTAATATATTTCAAAACCACAAAAGGCAATGCATGAATTGATAAGATCCAGAACGGTATCTAGCCATAGCCAACGGCGTGGACAATTGGGTGCCATACTGTGAGCATATATGATAGCTCACTTTTTATATAACTTACTTTTATTTTTAGTTTATGCTATTCTCTTGTTTTGTGGAATCAAATCGATTTGTATTGTAGAATGAAAAACTATCCTGTAGGAATATATTGATAGTGATGCAGCATGCATAAT